GTCAAACTCGTCTTTCTCTTGTAAGACTATCAGATAATAGTCAAATGAAGAGTCCTGTAAGTCTTTATATTTTTTTTAAAAAATGATTAGGGTTAAATACGTTTTAAAGTACCAATGACATTTACTGTTTTTCATTTGCTGACTGAGATTTTATAAATCTATCAGTAAAAATTTCATCAATATTCAGTGTCTTGGGACTGTGCCATGCTTTACTTATTTCTTGTCTGAGTCTCAAATTTAAGTGTTTATTTTATTACAATATTTAGTTACCTTAGTAAAAACAGACTACTAAATTACTCAGATACCCTTCCAACTTGCTGCATTTCTTTCTCCTTTCCTTCAGTCATGAGCCTTACTCTTGGGCGAGGTTGGAGGAAAGAATAGCATATCACTGATTCCCATGAGAGCAGCTCAGTCTGCCTTTTTTTGTGCTTCAGCATATAATTTTCCTCTAATACACATTTTAAACACATTTATTTATTTACTTACTTATGTATGTGTCTTAACTAGGGTTTCTATCACTATGAAGCAACATCATTGCTGTGGAAACTCTTATAAAGGAAAATGTATAATTAAGGCTGGATTACAGTTTCACATATTTAGTTCTGGTGAGAACAGCACCATGCAGGCAGACATAGTGCAGGAGAAGGAGCTGAGATTTCTACATCTTGTCCCACTCTTGATGTAGCTTGAGCATAGAAGATGTAAAAACCCATACCCATAGTGACACACTTCATCCAACAAGGCCATACTTCCTAATAGTGCCACTCTATCAGGAGCCATTTTCTTTCAAACAACCACAGTGTGTGTGTGTGTGTGTGTGTGTGTGTGTGTGTGTGTGTGTGTGTTTGTGTTGTGGTGCATGCTACTATGGCATGTTTGTATGTTTGTATGATGGTCAGAGAACAACTTATAGGGCTGAGTTCTACCTACCATGTGGAGCAAACCCAGATTGTCAGACTTGGTGGGAAGCACCTTTACCCTCTGAATCATCTCATTAGCACTAATTCACATATTGAACACAATTTTTAAAGTTTCCTCTCTGACATTTTCCCATATATATGTGGTGGGTGATATACTTGTGCAAGCTTGAAGGCCTAAGTATGGATCCCTAGCACTTAAAAAAAAATGGGTCTGAGCCAGTCCCAATTCTGTTACCGTAAGAGAGCTGTCCCTATTACCCATCTGTCTTATGGCAACAGGGGCTCAGAAGAAGTGCCCTCCCCCCCAGTGCCATTCCCATCTACACTGGAGACAGATGGGAGGGCTGTTGTATGGTCATGAGTGTGAGAGAGACATCCCTGACCCCCACCAGCTACAACACTGCATCTCTCCAAGGCAGCACAACTGAGCCAACACTGTTACAACAGTCTAGGTGAGCCAACCCTGAAATTGTGGCCTTGGGAGAGCTGTCCCCATTTCCCATCTTGTGGTCCAACACTATAGTTTCCCAGGCCCAGACTCAAAGTAAAGTTATAACTTGGCCTGCACCAACATCTACTCCATCTATGATCTGCTGGAGCATGTGAAGGGACCTGACCCACAGACCCAAAGCTGTAGAATCCCCACAACACAGGATGAAAGCAGGATATACAGGAGGAATCTAAGTGGGGGCTCTGCATTGAGCATTCAGTGGAAACTACAGGCCTTGAATCAGACCAATGACTCTTTGCAATGTACACTTCAAAAGAGAGATGTATGGACAAGGAGGTATACAACATGACTGTTTGGGCCACACTGCAGCTTCCATGACAAGATTTTTGATTCCTCCCCTTTTTCTTCACATTTAATTTTATTTTTCTTTAATTTTATTTTATTCTGGGGTGGGGGGCACAGATGTAGAGAGCAGCTGCAAAGGCATGGGTAATGAATGGGATTAAGATATATGATGTAAAAACCATATAGAGTAAATAAATTTTATTTTGAAAAATGTGCCTGTTGATGCAATCCCAGCACTGGGGAGTAGAGATGAATATGGAAGATTCCGGGGACCACCTAAATGATCATTACAGCTAAAACAGTAAGTTCCAGATTCCATGAGAGGAGCTGTCTAAGGAGATGAGGTGGAGAGCAGCAAATATGTCACCCAAACTCCATCTCTGGCTTCTACTATACACACTTAGACATACTAGTCAACACCTACATATATATCACATAAAAATCCTATTAACGTTTATCAAGATTTAGAAAGAAAATTTAGTATATTAATGACAATACTAATCATATCAGATATATTCATGCCCAAACAAACACTTTTTGAAAGATCTTAAAAATTTGCCTTTGAAACTCTAAGTTTCTCTCCATGTGTGGGAATGATGTTAAAATCCAACATTACTTATAAATGGAGTTCTTAATTGGTCTAGATAATAAAAACCTGGAGTCAGATATAGAGGATAATGCTGAGATATCAGAGAGCAGAAGCAAATCACCACCACACTTCACCTCTTTAGTGTCTCAGCAGACAAGAGAGCAAGCTCTGGTTTTTCCCTGATTATATCCTATTTCCACCCAGGTACTTTACTTCCTGTTTGTCTGTATAGACCTCCAGACCACTATGGTTAGGTAGTGGCAAGCTCCATTCTCTGACCTTCAGATAGGCTTTATTTGTACAAGCAAGATATCACCACAATTGCTCTACAATAATCTTACACTTTTCTCACAAATAAGACAGAAACTGTTGGTGGTTCCAAGTTCCCCTGGCCTATACATCATGATAATTTGAGTAGCAGTAAGGTGTGTTAGATTTGGACACATCTTATATTTGATCTAACATAAACTACTTAAACTGATTATAATCAGGTATGACAACCATATTGACTAATCTACAAAGAAGAATATGTCATTTCAACAGTAATAAAATAAACCACCCAATTAATTAGCAGCAGGTTGGACAGATTGCTTTGGAAGGTTTCTCAGGAGAGAAGGTGCTTCCAGTGTTTTGCTTACACAGCAAGAAACCAATATACTTTACTAACGAGTAGAGAAATTTTCATTTTTGTCTTTTATTTTTGAGATTATTAATACATATAAAGGCAAGGCATTATCTTACTTTAAATCACTGCCAACACAGAGACAATATTCTTATTCTCCATGATGCCTTGCCCATTCATTTCTCTGATGAGCTTGCCTTTTCCATGAGCTGGCATAGAACACTATAAAACTTGGCCATAAGAAATGTTAATATTTCTGTGAGCTCACTTTCTTCTTTCAGTGCCTGGCCTTATTATCTTCAGAGAAAATTGGGGTAATAGATTTCATATTAAACAGTTTTCTGAGGTACCAAACTATCAGATGGATGCTTCCTTTCCTTGAGTGGAGGATGTTGGCCCAGAATATATACACATCCCTGTGACGAACTATTCTCCATTGGAAAATGAATTGACCATCTCTGTTTTATTTCCAACTAGCACCAAGGCTTATTTACTTTGAATGGTTAAGGACATATGTTACACTACATTTTGTATTCCTCTCAGGTCTTGGTGTATCAGTTTCACTTACCACGTCTTACCTACACTCTCAAATGCCATATCAATGAAAACAGACAAACAAAATAACCACTCTCACTACTCCAAGCATCCCTCTAAAGTCTAATGTTGTGTGTGCTTTATTTGCCTATCTCCCACACAATATTGTGTCAAAACTCTGAATTTCATTGAGAGAGGAATATGGATTGATTTTGTTAACTAGTGTCTGGAAGATGAGTAGAAATGTCAGGAGCAAAGTACCATTCTCCATCACCAAAAGAAGCTAATCAGGGGAACACATCTGTGGGCATCATGCACATTCATCACAGGCTAGATTCCCGGGCTGTTATGAGGTGGGACTGATCATATCTTCGTGACTCATCTCAGTCTGTAATAACATGGTTACAGGAGTTAGATGTCACATGTTCAGTTGGAATATCTGCATATAACAGCGACAGTTTCCAATGACTATAGCCTTTTTTCTCTACCATAGCACATCTGCAAACATGAGTCTTCATCATAGGAAACTTCAAGCACATTGCACTGTCCTGGGGCCATTCACTGGAGACGGAAATCCTACCAGAGGCCATATCCTCAAATAGAGCAGTTCTCCCTCCCCGAGCAGCTCGTGCTGCCAACTCAGCACATGTTGGGGCCTGGAGAGTAGCTCCCCAATCTATGCATTACTTTTGCCTGGTTTGTTCTGTGGGTTACACAGTTGCTGTGAGTTTCTGTCAAGAAGACAGCATTAAGTCAAACACTTTCTACACACTATATGCGTGTCCATAAACTCTGTTTTTTCCACTTGTTTATCCTCCAACAGATAATTAGAATAGAAATAGCAAACAGAAAGCAGAAGTCAGAAGTTCAGGTCCATTCCTGACTTAGACCCTAAGTCTTTAGTGTCCTGGAAAAGAATCTCCTGCCTTCATACTAGGAGGCTGAACTCCTTAAGGTCACTTTATATTTTAAAATTTCATGTTATAAAAAATGCCATTCAAAAGCACTTTTAGTGCATCATCTCTACTAAACCACATACTAAATTTAGCACTTTAAATTTTAAAGAGTAAGTGCTTACAGGAACATGTGAAATGACAGACAAGACCAATAAAATGTGTTTCCCAAGAGCACAAGTTGAAGGTTTCCACCATATATCTAACACAGGGTGTTTGCTTGCATGGGAAACTAGAACTTACTCATAATTTTCTGGTTGTTAAAACAATGGATTGTACTTCCACTGTCTAATTTGCAAAGAGATTGCATAGTGGATGTTTTGTAGAAAGGATAATTTCATGTAAACAAATATTGCTAGTTTAGTTACTACTCTGAATATAATTTGAATATGTTAACAGTGTACTGTTATATACTAGAGAAACACAATCTAATAAAAGTCATTTTGCATAAGCTCTTTCTGGATCCATCCATCAGGACATCGAGTATATTCATAAACCTAAGAGATGATCTATAATTTCCTCTTGATGATGAAAAATTGGACCACCCTTTTCTTTAATCAGTGCTTCTAATTTTGTTTTTCAGAATGAAAAGTCCCCAGGGCGATCTGCAAGTCGATCAAGTAACATATCAAAAGTATGTGAAAACTCTCCATGTTCTTGTTTGTTGATTTCTGTTTCATGAGTTCAATGAATATTGATAACATTTAACCTATAATTGTGATGCATAAGAAATTCTCAAATATTAGTTATTAATGGTTTGAACTATTTTGCACTTTTACTAATGGAAACATCATGCCTTCATATAATCAGCAATATTGTTTTTCCACTTTGCTCTTGATACAGAAGGTAATTTTCTATTTTCAGTACTGGGAACTGTGACTTCTTTTCCCTTCCCTCCACTTCAAATATCCTAGAGGCAGCACGCACTCCAACCAAAACTGTCAGCAATCATGGCACTGTTCCCATGAATTTTGAATGACAGGATTTAGTGTCAACCTCACTGAAATGTATACTTTTTCTGCATGTAGAAATAATTTTCATAAAAACTTTAGTTTGGCCATATTTGGGTTACAGAATTAATGGATAAAAATCAAAATACTCGCCTAGGCCGACTTTTTAAGTCCAAGCCAGGAAACAGGGTCAGGAATTTATTGTGTATCTGTTCAAATATTCTAGAATTTTTACGAGTTTGCAAACATTGATGTACTGTTCTTTAAAATGGGATACCATGTGATGGGTAGATATGGTGCCTGGGAATAAAATATAATATGTGGCCATTTTTCAAAATGGGAACTCTGAATTTTCAAGACACTGTCAGGAGCAAAATGAATTTGCATGAAGGCAAATTCCATTTCAGGACCTTTCATTGGCCACGGACATTCCACATTGTCAGCCACAAACCTGTATTAGTAATTTCATTAGTTTCTTATGATGGCTCCAGAAATTAGTAACAAATAGTAGGCTTTACAACAACTTCAGCTTCCCATTTAAAGAAGCTCTACCTTCTGCTTAATTCCCAGAAGCAAATGACTGTTACTCATTGATAAGTAGGAGTTCCAGAATGTCATCATTCTCTTTAGCTGGCTTCCTGAAGACAGACCTTAAGACATATAACATGTGCCCATGTGCCCATGTACAGAGTGCTTCCAGTGCATCCCAACCTTGAATATACACATCGCTGCCTATTTCTCTGTAAGAAGGACCTCTGTATTGCAATGCTACCAATATTAAGGATGCTTGAATACCATCCTCTGAAAGATGATCCAGAACAAATGCACGCATATGCTTGCTTGCAAAAATATGCAGGACTCAAAACTGGGGCAGCAGGAGAGTAAGTGCCTCCCAGAGACCTATGTGTTGCTGTTTTGATACTCTGAGAAGTAGTAGAACCATGGTGCAGTTGAGTGATAGATTAGTAGACATTTGAGGAATACCCTTGAAGGGTGTGGCTAGTTAAGTCCATATGCTCACTGTGTTGTGTTCCCTCTCTTTCTGCTCCATCAGAACTCTAAAAGCAACAGAAATCCCTAGCAATTGACTTCAAACTCCAAACTTGTGATCCAGAGCAATCATTTCTCTGGAAAACAGTAGTCTCTGGTATTTGTTATAATAATGAAAATATGAAGGAACATCACTGAATGCTTTGAATTACATTCAAAGTAGAATTCCTCCAGAGATATTTAAGAGGGAATGTGCCCTTCTGATTGAGAACACTTCAGAGTGTGGGATCTTCACGTCTCTGCTCTGTTGTTTCCTCAGGCAATCACCTAAACTCCCTAAAACACTCCCTCACCTGAAGGATTTCTTCATTTAGTTTCATATTAACAAACCATCTCCTAAATGCCTGTCATCCAAGTCTCATAGGAGAAAGCCCACCTAGAGTCATGAAATAGTGGTATCATTCTGAACAGATTAATGTTGAGCAAGTAACTTAGAATCTAGTCAAAGGGATGGCAGCTCTGTTACCTCATTAAATAGTAATGATGATCTAGGAGCTCAAATATATCCTCTATTTAAACTGATGTTTGAAAAAGTGCAACGTGTTTATAGTGTTCAGGCTTTTAAATAATTCCTTTGGAAAGGATATAAAAATCACAAGTCTCACTTCCCATCTCTGACTTCTTAAAGATTCCCTGACATTCTGTGTGGGATTAATGAAAATCTTTTCTCTGATACCTTAGCTGTACCACAGAAAGGTTTGATACCAAACTCTAGTAGATTTCCATAGGTTGCAGAAACACATAGAGACAACTGATCTTAACAAGGAGGAGCTAACGGGGCCCCAGGTTGATAGCTGGAAATCCAGCATGGGACTGACTCAGACCCCCTGAATGTGGGTCTCAGCTAGAAGGATTCTGTCTAAGGGACCTCAGACAGTGAAACCAGGATGTATTCCTGCTGCACAAAAGGACCTTGCAGACACATCCCCCTTGGAGGGATACTCCCTTAACCTAGAGACAGGAGAGAAGTCCTAGTCCCTACTTCAAATGACCTGACAGATCTACATGACCCCACCTGGATGGCATTGCCCTACATGTGGAATTGGGGTGGGGGGATGGGATGGGAGGGTTGTCAGGGTGCATGTGAGGCAGGAAAGAGTGTGAGAGGGAGGGAGGCAGGGTGAGCGGGAGAAGGAACTGGGATCAACATGTAAAATAAAAATAAAAAAAAATTTAAAAAATCTCTTAACCCATATAACTCTCTTTGCATTTGACACAAAATGATAATAATAAAAATGATAAATATATTACTTGGTGCTTACTACTCTTATGAATTACTAGATGATAAACTCTTCAGTAATCCTGAGGACTACTGAGAATGAATTGGCAAAAAAAAAAAAAAACTGTCAATATTTGAATTCTTTCATTTTTCAGGTATCAGAAAAGAAAATATAAAAACCGGAATAAAACTTTTATTCTTTAATATTGTCAAACTTGTTTTAGGTGAAACTATTGTAATTTCCAAGGGTATTCGAATCGTTGTAATGGAATCATTAGAGCATGTATAGCAGAGCACATGTTAATAAGTGTTACTAAATTTCCTTTATAGCCATATCTATAAAGAGAAAAAGAACAGCAACATGTATATCTTGGTTCTATAAACCCAGTTAATCCATATGTAAGTATTAGCTCTCTCTGTGGAGTTCCAAATATTTAGACCTCAATAACAGCATTAATAAAAGCACCTAGTAATCTCTCATTGGGCAAATGAATTTGAGATTGTAATGTTAGTGTATGCACTTTTTATAGGTGAAACAGAATAAATTAGACAGTGATAATATTAAGATAGACATTAAAAATGTTATATATTCCTGTTAGCTTAAATATTTCATATTTAACAATAATAAATGTTTTTAGTCCAGAACTAGTAAACTCACACTAGCTTTCTTCTTTCCCTTTTTATAGTTTGTGGTAAACTCCATCCATTGATACAGGACTGTTTCAAGATGTTGTAAGAACAACTACCAGGACAATATAATAAAACTTGCCCTGTGTCCTTAGGTCTACTTTCTTCCCTGGGTCATCTCATTCCTTACTGAACAAACAGACCTTCTAATCAACAGTTATTACTGTTTCTCTTGTTCTACGTTGGAATGGTGAAGCAATAAAAAATGTAAACTGGATCTTTAGTGATCTCAAAGAACAGAGTTGAGAGAAAATATATGATAATGCTATACATATAAGTATAAATGTGTTCAATATATGTGCACACATAGAATACACACAATGTGCATACTCTGTATACATGTTTATATAGACAGTATACACACATAAGATACACTCTACAAAAGCATGTGCCCCTAAAATTGAACAGTTCTGAGATTTCAAAAGGCCTACTGGCAAGTTTGGTTGTTGTTGGCATGTGAGAACTTAGACTTCAGAGAGAGAGAGAGAGAGTCCAGTTCTACTTATGGATTTCACCAGTTCACTGGGCTGGAACTGCAAAGCATGTGGTTTCTCATAAGCACACACTTTTTTTTCAGGAGGAGACTGAAGTTCATGATCTCTTTCAGGGAGCCTAAACTATTTGTATGAATGAGACCAGTACAACTCTAGACCATGAGTCTCTAGTCAGTTTCCCTGGTAGATAAAACTGCACAGGTGCTGTTATCACCTGATTTTGAGATAAAATATTGCCTGGAGAACTGTGTACTGCTTTGTTGGAAGCTTGCTGCTGGTTTGTATGAACTTGAGCCCATGCACAATTTCTCTGCTTCTTTTCTTTTGAAGATTTCATTGTAATAAATCAAAGGTTGGATATGATTACATATCTCAACCTTGAGGACCCTTAGACCTCAAACAGTGATCATGGTCAAGGGGACCCTAAACACCTTGTCCTGAGACAGAGGCTATGAGGCGAAGTAAAGATTATCTTTGTTTAATTGCAGTAGGATAGCTCAGAGAGAGTTTCCTACAAGAGAGGCACATAACCAAGGGCTTGAATGTCTGATGTGATTGACTGTTGGGAAACATGTTTAAGGGGATGGAAGTATAAGACTTTGAAAAGAAGGAAGCAGATTATAAAAAAGGGAACATAAAATAGCCAAGGAGCTATTATAAAAACACATTAAATGACAGATACATTTCCTTTAGTCTGGCTATATAGGTACCATTGACTTGAAAAATGAGACAAAGAACCAGAGTCTAGCAAGGCCCTCGAGGTTCTTTTCTGTATCTGAACAAAGATGAATGTGAATATTACATTTGCCATTTAAAATTACACAATATAAACATGGTATTCCTGATGTGAATATGAAAATTCTAAGTATAGGGCATCATAAATGCTGAGTTGTGAGTGAACATAAAAATCACAGTTGTAGTTTTTAATCTCTGAATAAACCTCTAAATTGTTCAATGACAATTACAGTTTTAGATTTCTGGTTATTCCAACATTCATGTAAGCTTATGGTTTTTGTTTGCCTTAATATTAGATAGTTAAACTATACCTCTTTCTTATTTTATACTTTTTTCTATAGAGTCTCTTTATATATCTTAGGCTGGCCTTGACTTGTGTATTTCTTGAAGTACTAGAGTTATAGTCATGTGCTAACACAACATCTTACATGTTTTTTTTTCCTTAATATTTCTTGTTCTAGTAAGAACAGCATGCTTTTGATATATAAAGTTGATTCAA